TTCAGATACTTATCATGAATCTTCTATCTCATATCAACCTTAATACACCCTACCCCGATCTAGTATCTTCCAGCTGTTCTGGAGCTACAACCCTGTATTCTCAGATTCTTTGGGATTTTGGAAGAAACGTAAATGCAGAACAAAGCTTCTTATAGTACTCAGTCAGTATCAACCTGATTCTTTTGCATGATCCTTGACTTGTATGATCAGAATGTTTCTACTGGCACTGAAAAGTTACAACCAATTAGACAATAAAATATGGAGATATTGAATGAATTCTGATTTTACTGTCAAAATCATAATTGCAGTTGACTGACCAAGGCTGGAGTAATGGCATTTGAAGAGGAACCTGCCATTAACACGAATGACAGCTTTTTTTGGAGAGAAATACAGGCTGAAATATCTTTCTACTATGTTGTAAATAATCAACACCATGGGAGCTCTTTAAACATTATTCCTGAAAGGGGATAAAAATTAATTATGAAGTAAAATATGATCACTTTCAAGTATAAATTTGTTGTAACTTTCATACAATATATGGGTTTTTTCTTTTTATGTAGCATTGTATTTTAAAATAGTATTGCAATAGATAGAATTGCAACAAGGACAAAGATACCTTTTTAAAAATGTTGCAACTGAATTAAAGTCTATGAAAAGATGGTCGGTAATAGATGAATTTTTACCACATTAAACTTGGTAAAAATCTAGAATTTTCTAGCGTTCCAATTTTTAAGACCACTTCTGTCATTTTACAGATTCTTAGCCATTACCGCTCATAGAGCATTAAGGCTCTATATTTGATGGTTTAAGCAGATTCTATTTGCAAGATCAGTCATTTGGATGTTTTAATTTCAGTTTGTGGCCAGGAGGCATATTGTGATGCAGAAAGATTTTAATGAAGGCATCTGTGTTTCAAAATCAGTCAAACTGCTGGGAAAAAGTAGATCGACTGATTTTAGATGAAGAACACTTATTTTAAAATAAAAAGTGAACTTTTAGGAGGTTCTTCACAGTATCCAATTTCAATGTTACTTTTTATGTCTGCAATAAGTGCTAACTTTATTTTTATAACTGATACAAAATTGGAACTGCTTATGTTCTGCCATTTCATCCCAGTTTTGCTTGATTTTGGGTGGATGGGAATTTTCAAAATAATGAATCAGACTTGTTTGAAAACAATTAAGTAACACAAAGGAACTTATGTATCCTTTCCATTCCACTTCATACTGCTTTAAATCCTTGTTGATTTCCATCATTAATATTATTTATTAAATTTAGATTTCATTCTGCCAAGATTATTTTATTGATATTTTAAAGAATTTGATAAGTTAAATGAAGTTTTATCTATGTATTTGGATACGAAACATTATTTCCTTTAAATGCCACTAAATGTTATGGCAAACTTTGATTTGGTTTCCTTTCATTTAAAGACATATGCATTTTTTGCAGATGAAGGAACAGCTTCCCAAGCCAGTAACTTATCATGAAGGGTTTATTGGGCTTGTATTTAATTACAAGTATTTTTGTATTTCTGTATTTTTTTATTTACGATTCAAATTTCACATTGTCGTATTGTGAAACAGTTTTCAGATTAAATTTATGTTATACAACATAGACAAACTATATTCAGAAATGTCTACTTTGACATGATGAAATGCATTTATGATATATAAATGTGCATATTCTTTTGCACTTTTATAAAGAGGTAACAGGTGAGTGTAACTGAATATAAGAATGCACTTGAATGAAAGCATCAGGAATTCATCTAATTCTGGTGATGGTAGACCTGGTGCATCAATTTTATCTGATTACTGCATTAGTTTTCCTTTCCTGCCTAAAATGGGTTCATATTTCATTTCTGGTGTGCAAGACCAAGCAACAAAGACTAAAGACTTAGTTAATTTTCTTCATTATATTGTATTATCTGAATAGATCAATGAATTGGTACCTGTGAAGTGATAAGAATGTCATACAGTAAGCAGAGCATAGCAAAACTGGTTTGGCTTAGTTCCTTTAGGAGCTCTGAACATCTGTCTCATGATCACAATGATACATTAGTTACTTTAGAAACTGAATGATTATAGGGCCAAACTACAAATTATTTTCTCCTAAATTTGCCTTCTCCTAGAATAGTATTTCCTTCTAACCATTTTTGACTATTTTTCTAGATTTTGTGATAAATATGTGAAATTATAATTTCTTTCCACTTGTAGAATATATCCCATAAGACTTGCACATAATACAAAGGTATGAAGGCGAAATGGTAGTGACAGGGAATGGTGTTTTTTTTCTCCATCATAATTCCATTCTAGGCCCATGATGGCAAACCTATGGCATGCGTGCCAGAGGTGGCATACAGAGCCCTCTCTGGGCATGCACACCAGACAGCTGGTTTCTTCCGGGTTCTGGCGGTCTTCAGAGTTCCGGAATGCATGCACCAGAACTTGGAAGAGAGCAGCAGCCTGGTGCGCATGTGCACGCCAGAACCTGGAAGAGCAGTGGCTGCCATACAAATGCACACTGGCCAGCTGCTCTCTTTTGGGTTCTGGCGCTATGGCGCGCGTGCGCTCTCCAGTTTTGGCACTTGGGTCCAAAAAGATTAACCATCACTGTTCTAGGCTCTCCTAAACAGACAGAATTGGTATATTCAAAATTTATATTTACAGACAGATTAATTTTATTTGTAATCTAGACCTAAACATTTTAATTCTTTCACAATTTAGGGAAAAATAATGAAAAACATATGAATGGAGTTAAGCGCTTCCAGCTTAAGAGGCCACCATTGTATGGGATCTTCAAAAGCTTGGAATGTGCTCTTCAACTTATCCTGGAATTATCGCCAAATTAATTTTTAAAGGTGACAGATGGAAAAAATAATTAAATACATGGAGAATGTTTCACCAACTACAATTAAATAGTCTAATTAAAAATAAATTAAATCAAACCATTTTCCATTCTGCTCAAAGGAAATCCATATAATATTTTATGGCAATTATTGTCATTCTATTTTTTTCTGTGCCAAATGCATTAACTTGGAATGTCACATTTATAGAGATCAGCATTTCAAACAGTTGTATAGAATTTTATTCTTATAGTTTGGCAAAGTACTGTGAAGTATTTAGTGCATCATAAATAAGAAGTGGAAATGCATATATTAGCTTCCATTTCTTTAAAATTACTGCCAGTACATCTTGATGTCAGTGACTTCTTTTCTAGATTTCTGCCAGCTGTATCCTATGTTCATCCTACTTATTAGATGTGTGTAAATCAGGCAAAAACTAATTGAATCAAGTTGGTTTAAAGCTTTTACTTGGTAAAACTGTATGAGTGTCCAAGCAGAAGACTCTTGAATTTCCAGATAAATTTAAAGGTCCTTAGTAAGCAAGTCAGTTGTTCAGTTATTTTATGAGATGGTTTAGTTGAATCATCATTGACATTAAAACTTCCAAATCAAAGGTTAATTACTTATGATCATCAATAATGCTTTAGCAAAAGACCTTTCTATTAGGATATCTGTCTCTTTCTTACTCACAACACACACACACACACACACACACACACACACACACACACACAAACGTATCTGAATCAGTTATCTCTGTCTCAGTCTTTAAAGGTACTAAATTTATTAAAAGATTTTAATGGCAAAAGATTTTATATGAGAACCTTTTTTCTCCCATTTTAATTAACATTGTTTTCCAAGAAATTATTTATTTACTATATATATATGCTTTCTGAAATGAAGTGAGAGCATGTAAAATTAGTTGTTACCTAATTGTTAAAATACTTATTATCAGCTATTATATCATCTCTATATAAAGAAAATCACAAAACTATCCACTCTTCTTGGAAGATGATTAAAACTCATTTTGATATTGCTCTGTTTATACCAGAAAATAAGGTTGTATCGTGTAAACCTTGCAACAAATTAAAAGATAAATTTAATTTCTAGTCAGAAACCATGCATGTTTGCTCAAAAGAAATATCTATTGAGCTTAATACCATAAGATATAATTCCAAATAATGCTGCGCAAGCTTTCAGATTCAGATTTTCGAAGCCATCTGTATTCAGTTTAAATGTGATGTATCTGAAACAGATATTTTTTCTTACTATAAATTCAGAAATAATCAATCAAATCTTGATTGCTCATTCTTTCAATTGTTAATTTTTACCCAGTTTTTAAATTGAAACACAATGTTAATATTAGAAAGTGGGTCATTTCTAGTACTACCATTTAAAATATGACATGAAAAAAAAAAATCAAAAATGGCATAATAAAACAACTTAAGATGCAGTGATTTTTTTCATGAAGCATAATTAATGGGATAACTATTAGAGAGGCAAAATAATTTTTCATGCCGGATTCTTTAGAAAAATGTTCAAAATATATTACCTTTTTGAAAAATGTAATCTTATTTGCATCAAAGGACAAAATTATGTATTGACACTTGGACAGTTTAATATGTTCAGAATATCATTAATCATGAAAACAGGAACTGAATGATAAATTATCTTTCCAATAATTAATAGTAGGTATCCATCTCATTTAACACTTCCATAACAAAATATAATTTGATAATGAATCTAGTGAACTTCTCCTGCAGCTTTCTACTTGAAACACTATTCAGATTTCCAAATTATATTAGACAATTTCCATATGAATAGTAAAAAGTCTTTCACATTATAATATTAATTATAAACACTTTGGGGGGAATACAATCCATCTGTATAACAAAAGAAAATTATATAATTCTATTTGAGTGAAATCTTTCATCTTTGATTTACAGGTTTGCATCTGCTATAACTGAAACCACATTGTTTTGTATCTTTCATATTCTGGCTTTCCCTGAACCTTGTTTTAATTAAAGTCTATTTCAAATTTCTGAATAAAAAGCATGACAATGTTCACTTATGGCTTTAATATCTTCTTTGAGCTTGGAAAATGTATAAAAGATTATTGTTGCTTGCCGATCAAAGGAATGTCAGCTATCAGATAGTGTAAAATAGAATGGGGAACATTAAATAATACACAATTTTCTCTGTATGTATAGGTTTGTATGTACAGATGTGTATGTGTATGTGTGCATGTATGTGTGTCTTGAGAGAAAGATTTTAGTGATATAACTTTTCTATCATTATTTGCAAACCCCAAAAGGACAGCCCAGACACCTTCCTTTTCTGTGACAATAAGGCAACATGTGTAAGAGTTTAAGGATTCATTATCAGCAAAAGGCACATCTCTTCTGTAATAATCATGAATCCACATGGATTTGTGGCATAATCTTACTATTCATCAGAGAAGAAAATAAATAACAGGAGATACCTCTCAGAAACTTGCTACTGAGTTCCAAACTTCAATGGGTTTCAGTGAAAAAGAATAACTGACATGCCAACTCCAAAGAAAAAAATAATCTGCAAAAGTACTGGATTTTCCAGCAAACTTCAAGAAAGTGTCTTGCTTATTTCTCTTAAAAGTGTAGCACATGATTGGTCTGAAACAAGATTAAGTCAGATAGGGAAAAACTTGATTTCTAAAAGCTGAATCAGTTTGAATCAGTTTGCAATCAATCATTTTGTAATCTGTGCAGGATTATGCCAAAGACAAACCATCAGTCTTTCTTTCCCAAGCAAATTATGTTCACGGGATTCTAATTATCACTTACAACAGAAATACAGAAACCACCACCAACAACAAAAGAAAGCTAAAGAAGAGACCCATTTAACACACTTGCATTTGGGGCAGCTAAAAAATCAGAATGGATGTCTCTTGCTATCCAGTTTCCCTTTGGAAATTAATGCTTCTCTCATGAAATTGCTCTAGCACCTTTAAAGTGGAACTACAGAAGAACAACTCGTAATTTCATTACATCCAATCAATCATTTGAACCATTTCAACTGATCAGAGAGAGAAAAAGTCCCTCTAAAATGTATTTTAACATGTCAGAAGCAGGAGGGAGATTTGTGATTCTGTCTAGTTTTTTTCCCTAGCGGCTTCACAGGCTGTTTCTATTTTCATAGACAACCATAGACAAGAATGCAGAATGACTTTAACATTTCTATTCTACCACTGAATTTGGGGAGTGGATCAGAGAGCATATAAAAATCGGCACAAGATTCTGCCTTCTCTTCCAAGTCTGGTTCAGTCTACTGTTAGAATTCTAGTGGTTACATTGAAGGAATTTTAGGCTCTTTTAAGTCTCTCCCACGAACAAGTGAAGCTGCTGTTCAGAATTCTGTGCCCAATGTTTATGTTCCAACTGATCTCTGCCACCCAAGCAGCAGACAAGACATGTCTAAGGGTGCTTTTTTGGGGAGGGGGGATACACAATGATGTCACACACAGGAAATGTCAGGGGAGGACTTGGCACTTCACAAGGCTGACTCTTCTTCCATAGGCTCGCCAGCAGCTCTAGAAAAATAAACAGGCAATCAGAATATGGAACCAGAGTACACAATGACATTGTAGATTTTCATGCATAATCAAAGCTGATTTTTCAGTTCTCCCCCATGTTTATTTGTGTTCTTCAGCTAGCCATAAATAAAGTTTCTTTCCTTGGATGTATAAACAAATGTCAAGTGGAAAAACATTTTCGATCCAAGCAATCACTGCAAAAGGTTCCTGTTTATATTAAAATTGTCAGAATATTTTATAATGTTAAGTTTAGAAATGCACATGCTTTGTGTCAGCAAAATCAAATTGTTAAATGGGGGGAAAGGTGCAAGCCCCCTTCTCTGCTCAAAAGAAATATTTATGGATTCAATTTATCCAGTTTAACAATGGAATACCCTCTTCAAAATCAGGTAACATGCAAGGAATTTAAAACTCAGTTGTGCTGCTTTGCTCTTAAGATTTTGTTGGCAACTTGCCTGCCTAAACCTTCCGCACTCCAATTTTGAATTTGGTTAACAGACCACTGCCATGAAGTAGGGACCTAATAATAATAAATAATCTGATTGTCCATACTGCCTTTATTGGAAATAACACAAAAGATAGCTTAGTAGAAAGAACTAAATTAAGTTTTGGAAGTGTTAAAAAAATAAAGTTATAGAGTTATAGATCTAATTCAGGGATGTCCACAAGCAGCTACAAAAATATGATTGAAGGTCCACCTGTTTTTTTTTAAATGTACAATGGAGATTTGATGGCTGTCTTGATTTTTTTGGACCATTAACCTATGGACACCCCTTCCACACACTAATGTCTTGGAAAATTAATGATATAAAAATTATTTAAAAAAAATAAATTGTTATCAGGATTGGAAGATTTCTAAACCTACACTGATTTGCAAAATTTTCAACAAAATTGCATGTATTTATATGCACATACGTTCATTTCATTTTTAGCAGTTTAAGATATTTTCATCAGTGAAATTAGTTGCAATTGAAAAAATGTATTAGTAGGTTAAATATTAGTTTGGGAGGTCTCTGTATTTGTGTGTGCATGCATATGTGTGCACATATGTACACATTAAATATTAGCATAAGAAAAATATATAATTGTAGTGACTAATCTCTTGTGGATATTTGCAACTAAAGTGTGATTCAGGTCATTCACATGGGATTCTGTTGATGTGGGAAATTGCTACTAATATAAAAAAGGCATCAATATTTTAAGTCCTTAGAGCTTGCCAAAAATTCTTTGAGTTAGTACAGTAGGAAGGAAAAGAATTAATTTTATTTTAAAAATGTAACATAGTATGTCAATTTTTTTATTGCATATGAGGAACTAATGAGGTATAGCCTCTTACAACTTACAGCGGTACTGAGAAAGACACACAAGGAAAAAATTAATAGGAGATTTGGTTAGGCAGAAGGGTTTGTGTGTGTATATATGTATGTGTGTATGTATATATATATATACAAATACAACACAAAATGTAACAAAGGCAACAATAAAAATATTG